AGCAATGATCAGCACACACATCCCCAGCCTCACCTCAGGACACGAAACTGAACAGAGCTGTTAAACAGTCGAAGAATCGTCGAGCCTCGGGGCTCGGAGATTTTGGGTTTTGCCGAAACGGCACAGCCAGCGATGAGTCCGAAATCTTCGGAAATGGTTGGTGGGGCATCCTGCAGCAAACCTAGCAAGGAAAACTTCATGATCTGCAGTCAGCTAATGGAACAGCAACACTGATTTACAGTCATCTTCTAGCGGGTCACAAATGACTCAGCAACTGTTTTGCCCATTGAAGCAAGCGATACCAGGAAGGTATGATTCAATTCTTTAGACTACTGTACCCTCGCCGTGAGTGCCCATTGCCATGTTTGTTTGGTAGTGAGTTGCAACTTTTTGTGACCCCTACACCCACCATGATGCATCAAATTGCCCGTTGCCAACCATTTTCAGAAACGTTTCAGGATTCATGACGCCAGGGCCGCCCCAAGGTCGGTAAACAAAAAGAGATCCTTAAAAAGCCGCAGCCACCACTTCAGTGCCGCTTACTTTGCTGCTGGCGCGCTTCCGCCGCGTCAAGAGTTGTTCCTTCCGCCCCTGGTTCTTCCCAGGGTATCCTCTGATGACGCGAGGTGGTTTCTGACCAACAACTAGTCATGTTAGATGCACTGCCTGCATTCCGGGGCCATACCATGTCTATGTGAGAGATTGACAAGTAACATTCCTTCCCATTTTTCATTGATATTTCATTTCGTTTGGGCTTCAAATTCTTCCAATTTCATCAGCCAACCACACGTCGGCACAATTCTGTTTGCCATCACAATTCGCATCCTGCGGAACAGTTGGAGTGTGACTGAAAGGAACATGCATAAAATCTGAAAAAAGGCATAACAAGGCAACAGTCCGGGTGTAGAAACAACAAACATGGAGACTGATGGGGATATCACCACAAGTCAAAGGCAATTAAAGAAAAACAATACGGATAAACATGAACAGATCATCAGGGTATCACCTGCCCACGGGCACAGCTCAGGCATGTCTCACGTATGAAATGTTGTGAATCTGTTGATAGTCCACACTCCTAGTTGTTGAGGTTTCTCCTGGGCAAATCAAAAAAACATCATACATTACTTGTTCCCTTTTCTCAAACCTGAAACAATATCTTGTTTGGTGGTTCCCCATATTGAACATCATTGAACATCATTTATGGCGCGAATATGCTGGGGGCCGCGTATTTTTTTGCCTATAGGAATTCGACCTTCCCCAGGTCCCAATGCAGACAGGTTATCCCTAGTGATTCAGGTTATCCCTTGGCTAGAGGTTTCTGAGCCACAGCCAAGATCATCGCATTTTGGGTAAGGGTCCCCGAAAATTCACCTCTCCAACCCCGAGTCTGAACCCAAACCTCAAGCGTTGAGCTGCGCTGGCTCCTGCGCTCCCACACTTCTGAGAACACCATCGTCGTTTAACAAACACAACAAAACAGCACCAGTGTCTTCCTCAACTCCATGGTTTGGAGGATAATGCCACTTAGGAAGTGGTTAATCACATTAATCACCCCTGGTTAGGATGTGGCCCTTTCGCTTTTGTGATCCCCTGATATTTTTCATGGGTGAACCAACACCAACCATGCAGTTACCATCATAAAGTGGGCCGATCCTCCATGGCTAAACTTAGACACCCTACAAAAATCTACAAAATATACTTTTAGCAAACTATATAGTAATTAACAGTGCTCACTAGTAAAGTTGAGCTAGCTATTACACCAGTGGCTAGTTTACCTCTATCAGTGAGAACTTTCAAAGGTTTCCACCCCCCCGTGACTCTCGCCTGCGGATTCGTCAACAGTCCCCGCTTGTAGAGTGGCGCCAACCCTGGGTCATTTGTTTGGTCCCCATGGGGTACTCCACCCGTAAATTGGGTATCTGAAGAATAATCTTTATCTAGCCAAGCTGAATCACCACTGTAGATATGTTACTTGGTTCATAACTCGAATAACAGTTCATGTTGATGTGAAATATATGTACAGTGGGATGTGTTTTCAGGCAAATTGTATATCTTGTGGTTCCCTGCTGAGCGTTAAGTGAACCAGTCAAATAAATAAGGTGTGAACATTTGCCTGTTCATTGTTGCTGTGTTTGATATGAACCCATTCCGCATTTTTCTACCTGGGGATATCAATCAACCAACATGGTGTGTATAGATATATATATATATAAATTGATATCCCCAGACCCCAGATAGAAATATATATATATATATTATATGAATATATTAATATCCCCATTATATGTATATATATATATATTGGTGTTGTAGAAAAATATATAACGTGTGCATGTAGTCGAACGACCCAGAAAGTTTGACACACTGCTAGCGTGTCAAGATTCAGGATTGACCCAGCGGATGTGGTCCAACTACACATGGGGGTTGGTTGGACCAGAAATGATGTTAGAATTGAAGTTCCATATTATTGATAAAATGTGAATCCTTAACTAGTTGATTACCTGTTAAAACTTACCCTCTGGTAATTTAACGTAGCTATTGAAAATGACCATTAATAGTTGATTTTCCCATTAAAAACGGTGATTTTCAATAGCTACGTTAAATTACCAGAGGGTAACTGCTTGAATTAAAGTGATAGAACTTTACCATGTTGCTTTGCCGTGCTCTTTTCAAAAAACCTCATCTGCCAAGAGGCGAAAGATCTCCCGCAAGGCCTTGCGTCACGGTAGTGGGGAAAATTTCAACACATCAGTGCCATGGCCGGGGGCAAAAACAGAAGGAACAATGGGAATATCCATTATTTCATATGGGTGTGTCTGAAAATAGTGTACCCCTAAACCCAATGGTTAATGATCATTATCAATATGAAATGGCTATAATTGGGAATATACCCTATTTTCAGACAAACCCATATGGATACAACCATCAAGGGACTTAACTAGCAAAAATGGAGGTAATTCCCATTCGTTCATATGACACATTCCCATTCTATGGTCCCGGCTTCATGAGATTCATTGCTCGCTGGTCCCACGGAACACATGGGTATTCTTTGTGTGAACAATGGGTAATTGGGGACGCTTTATGGGATACCATCTGGTAACATGACATAGCGAGCTGGACACTCACCATTCTTAGAGGGTAAATCATCTATAGATTGGCCAGTTTCCGTAGCTATCTGAGAGTATTTACCACCACTCTAAAAACACGCAAATTCACCTCATTGGCACCCATAACCTCAGGTCTTCCCAATTTTCCAAGAACAAGGCATCCCAATCTTTTCGATGGTCTACCATCGCGTTTTTGAATTTGAGTGCCATAAATCAGGGTATGCCACACCCAGCTGTTTATTGGAGATAAATCATATGGTATGCCCATCATAGCTGGCTTTCTATCCCATCTTGTTGGTCCCATCCTGCATTTGGGTGAACACAGGGTACCCCAAAAATTGATGGTTGATCATAATGTTATTCAATTAAAATTGCCATGTTGGTGTTCTACAACACTTTAAGACACACCTAAAATATCATAATGTTGGTGATATATATATATATTATACAGTATATATACATACAGTATATATATATACAGTATATATATACATTATAATATACATGTAATATATATATATATAACATATATCCCATGATATCTCCATTTCTCCAGGGCTAATACTATACATCTCCCAAGGGGGGCATCTCCCGCAGCTTGCCATAATCTTGGATCGTTTCTCCGAGATGGGCTCGTTCTCCTGGCATCCCGGTGGCTTTTGGGTCATGATATCTATCATATTATATATATATATACACACATACACACATACATATATGTATAAATATATATATATATATATGTGACATATGTGTATATGCATATATATGTATGTATGTACTATATAGATCTTAATATGACCACTGTTGAAATAAACAAGTATACGGGTATACAATAGTACATGGACCCATTATACTCTAATATGAATATAGCTATATATGATCTATATATATATATATATACCATGTCCACCCATTTTCAGACCCACATGCCCTCAAGCCACGCGACTCACTTGACCTATTAGCAGCACAGCAGCTTTTTGTTGCAGTAACCGTGAGACTGAGTGCTTCGAGTGCCTATGCCTGCATCCTCAGCTACAGGAAAGGGCCCGACAGGTAGTTTGGGTGAAAATACGATTGGTGGATATATTGTGTACGTATACATATATATATAGTATATTATATATATAGTGGACATATCCATGCTGGGGTTTATCATAAACATCTGTAAACCAACTTGTAGCCATGGGGGGGGCCCTTCATGTAGTTCTTCTAAGGTTATAGGATCGCTGTTCCTTGCAGGAAGGGAATCTCAAAGCCAGCCGCATTGAAATCCTACGCCTCACCCGCAGCAGTGCATCAAGCGACGTAGAGCGGTAGAGGGTCTTGATGGATGTTGGTTTCAGAAATGATTTCCTGAACCTCAACCGCGACATCCCATAGTGAGTCACAACATGCGTGTGTGATGTTTCTACACATGCTTTCTTATCATATTACAATACCAATGTAGGGAAAACATGGGAAAACATGTAAAGTTGATTGGCAACCACAATTAAGAACCCTGTTCGTCCAACATCAAAGCATTCGATATATGAATCGTGCCTGGCATTTAACTCACGCCCTCTATCACTGGACCTGCTTCGCAAGTGCTTCGCGGGCACATTTGCGCCTGTACGACTCACATCTTTCACGACGTCTTTGTGCACGGCAACAAGCTGCAGCAGACGGGCCTCAGGGCCTACAAATGGACTGAGACACAAAGTTGAAGCAAAGTTGCTCATATGATCAACCCAGTCACAGGATATATATATATATATCTGCTGGTTTGTAGCATCCTAGCCTGAAATGATCAGAAGTAGCCTGGACTTGCAACTGAACCGTTTCTTTTTTTCACATGTACATCTTTGCTTTGCAACAGTCTCATCTTCCGCCTCTAAACGCAGCGCGCAGGCATCACCTTCCCGGGGCCGCAGCGTCAAGTGACTGGTTTTGTCTGAGGTACCCCCCCAATCTATGCTTTCAGAATAAGTTCCTCATATATTTTCCCACTAAAATTACTGTACCAATGTTCTGATATCACCACGTTTTCAGACATACCCAGATAGAAACCAATAAATTTGGAAACCCAAGAGCCCTCAAGGAGATGTCCTGATTTAATGAGTGACCTCTCCAATATTGCTGTGCAAAAAATAGGGGTACCAATGAATCCAACAAAGTGGTCGTGTTCTAATACATAGTTGTCAAATAATGTCAAATATATACTGTACACTGTACACTATATACTAGGTCGTGGATCAGTCATTTTGAACTATGACCTTTCACATATCATGTGGTAATTTGTCAACCATCAACTGCATAGCCTGAAAGGTTTTGCAAACAAAACTCTATAAACATGTATAAACTATATAATTCATTAAGATATCCTGTTTTCTCGCCATGTTTATCACCATTGAGAATTCCCTCCATGATCCATTCACACCCGGGACTGAAGCCTGGAAGGTGTCGCTTTTAAGATCCTCGAGGGCTTCCTGAAGATCTGACGGACTGGGCTGTGATTTCAGGCCATAAACATCTGAGTGTTTGATGCGTGTTGTTCAGTGATCTCCGGCTAAACAAATCATATGATCTTGCTAGATCTAGGAACAAAAGAAGAACATCTAACTGACATGGGAAATTTGTCATGAACACACCGCAAACTGGTGAATAAACACTCAAAGTTACTCAAAGTTGGTTGAAGTGTGGGTTTACCTCGACTGCAAATAGACATTTTATCCGCTTCAACAATCAAACATGGTGATGCTGGATCCAAGTGAAGTTGAGGACTTCTTGCTTGTTCCAAGCGGTCAGTGAGGACATCAATCCCAACCCCTGCATTGGGACAATTCGGGACGATGCGGGATGTTTAGATCAATGGGACAAGGTGGTGCTCCATACTTTGCTCCGCGTTGCTTTAGAACTGGATCAACTATGGTTTGGCGCGAATATATATACATATATATATAGTTATATACTTATATATATATATTTACATAATGCAGATATATCAATAGTTTTTCAAGCCTTTAAAAGGCAGCAAACAGGATTTTGGGGGCGGACTTGTAGTTTCACTGATGATCTGGTGGGCCCACCAAATTATTCGATCCTAAGGAACAAATGCCACTCAGCCTGTTTCTCCTGTTTCTGAATGATATTACAATAATGTATATTAACACGGGTCAATGGACTAAATTATATTAAATATCCCATTTTGCTCCTTATTCACACTCAAATAATGAACTCCCTTAAAACTTTTAAAACAGCCAACGAAATAATGCAAAATCAATCATTCATGATTATAAAAGCACCCGTATACAGTAATCATGTCATATCATTTCATCATGCTGTATCTTTCATTTAACCAATCAACAATACATACCATCTGCACCAGCGATGTCTCCGAGTCAGTGACTCATCGCTCATCAGCCGCGAAGCCCATTCAAAGGGAAGGCCTTGTCAAGCCACAAAAAACATGGATATACTGGCTATATGTTTTATGGTGAATACGTGTATATATATATATGTATATATATATATTTAAATGGAATGTGTAGAATATAGTAATATATGATTAGATGTTATATTATATTTACTGTATTTGAACATGCTGGGTATAATATGGTGGATATCAATGGGATGTATACCATATTATACTGCATATATTGTGGGTATACTGGACATACACTCGATAAAAATATAATGGGATATACTCAGGACGCAACACCACACGTCAGTCTACAGTACGGCCCCGGTCACAAAAACAAAACTTACATAGACCCTTTTCCCAAGTATTGCAAGAAAACAGAACAAACCTTCAATCCTCTTACGCTCTGGTAACTTAAAATAGCATAACATAACATAGCTATGGCAGCTGTGGAAATTTATCATTTACAATTTATAGATAAATATTATAGATATTTTTAGAAGTAAATCATCTACAAATGCACCATGTTCATCCATGTTCCAGGTCAGTTTTGAAGATCCCTTTTTTCCATGTCCCGAGGGCCTACCACCAGCTTGTCCGATGGCACTTTTTGGAAGGCGGTCTTTGCCACGCTCTTCACATGGTCCTCCACTGGGGAAATGTTGACCTTGGGCATTTTGACAATAACAATTGAGTGACTACCCTCTGGTAATTTAACATAGCTATTGAAAATGACCATTTATAGTGAATTTTCCCATGAAAAATGGTGATTCCATAGTTATGTTAAATTACCAGAGGGTAATTCTCAAGTTCACTTCAAAAGACTCGATTGAGAGCTCATATCAACTGAAGGGCCTGCGGGGCTCTAACTGGAAATGATGACAGTTTACCATGCAATCACTGACCGACTGGGATGATCACTGGATGGTTTTGACATGCCGTTTGACGATCAATTTCTCATGAGTTCCTCAATCCAAAGCTTGTTGTTTCGATGCTCAGTCCCAAGGTTTGTTCGTTAAACCCGTAAACATCCTCATGTTTGTCGCTTTACATGTGCTTGCCCTTGGTTGTCATCCACCCACAACTGGCAACCTTGAATGTGCATGTTGCGTTCATTTCACATTGTACCACACAGGCTCTGCACTCCGAATCCAACTGCATGTGATTTCTGTACAGTTGGATGGGACAACTTATAACATTTATAACCATGTCCGATCTTAAATATCCAGCATTACCCCACATTGTTGTTTGCTGGCTGGAACACGTCTTTTCCCAATTATAGCCAAGAATAGTCCAAGAATAAGGTGTGAAATTGTAAAAATTATAACAAGACATCCAGCGAAATACCTCAGTAATGAGGGGTGTAGCCCCACCTTGTGCTCTTGCTTCCTATGTCGGAAGCGTTTCAATAACGGTGACCCTTTGGGCGTTGCGGTGGCCTGCGCCAGTGCAGGCCAAAGTCAACGTCAAAATCTGGGTTCGGGTCATAAAACCGGCTGGTCAAGGCGAAGAGAATTGTGACAAAGAAACAACAGGACCCCCCAAAAAATGGACCTTGAAGATGATCTTATGATCTTATTCTAATTGGATATAATCATGTTGGAACGCCATCTTAAATTTACATCGGAACATCCCTGAACTAGTTTCGTGTTGTTTCCCATCAAAGCCTCCATTTGCAGGGGATTTCCCAGCAAACCATGTTTCAGCCAACGGAAATTCACCTTGACTTCAGCTGCTGGCATCTTGGGTGGAAAGCTTTGAGAGCCCTTCAGGGGCGATGGCATGGCCTGCGGAGCAATATCGAGTCAGAGTCAGACATGGAGCCGAAAAAAACACGTACGAATTAAATGGTCTATAACTAAAAACATAACTGTTTAATAATATTATATAGTAAATCAATTACATAAATACCAATACACACGTACGTGCGTACATATTACTTCATTAAATATAACAATCAATACTATATTGACTTACAAGCAGCAATGATATTCACACTTGTCGGTAGCAATCATAGTAAAATGATTTGTCGTGTTCATTTCCAAGCTCGAGCTGCAAGCGACGTCAAAGTTCACCACTGTCACCATGGAACAGGCGGCGTTCATCCGTGCCAACTTCCTGGCCAGGTCTGCCGTCTCCGACGCCACCGCCTCTTCACCGTAAATGATCCAACTGTTTTCACAGTCATTCTTTTACAACTGGTCCATGATGATCGCCTGAATGACTACACTGACTACACCACAACACACTTTCACCTTCGATGTTTTTGGGAGAGAAGTTTTTGTCGACATCTGCTGCTTTTCCGCGCTTGGAAGTTTGGTTGAATGCTTAATGCTGGGAGGGCAAAGAATCCGCTGGGATGCTTGGAGGACCTACACAGCCACAGCATTGTAATAATTCACTCACCGGAAAACGGAACTGTTGTCATACGGCCACCTAAGCGGATGATTCCCTATACGCATCAGTCCAGTGGCGAGGTCATAATTCAACCCTACTATATCCCCATTTTATCAATACCCTCTGGTAATTTAACATAGCTATTGAAAATGGCCATTAATAGTAAATTTTCCCATTGAACACGGTGATTTTCCATAGTTATGTTAGTTTACCAGAGGGTATATCCCCATTTTATCAATATCTCCCAGGATCAGCAACCCGTGGTAAAAAAAAACCTGTCATCCATGGTCATCCCATGGGTGATGACCATGACTCTGACGTGGGATGATCCTCCAAATCGAACTCAACGGGCCATTGCCAGAGGAGAATCATATGGGCCCCATTGCTATATCCCATGAGAAAAACCCATTGATGTGGCAGACCCGTTGTGCGTAAAGCTATGAACATAGGCTATACCACCAATGATATACCTTTTTTTCTTCCGTGGGTTTAGAGTTTAGAGGTACACTGTGTTCAAACAACTTCATTAGTATATCCATGTATATCCCATTATGTATATATATATATATATCCCCATGACAGCCCCATTAATGTAGTATACTCAATGGGTTTGCCATTAATGTGGTAAATCACCATTAACGTGGTAAACCCACCAATGTGGAAAATCACCATTAGTGTAGTATAACTATGAATCATTCGTGTTCTGGGCAAATTATAATATTTCACTAAACTGAAATAATGCCATTTGGGCATTATTTCCCATAAACATGTTTCCAGTGAGGTCACAGTGATGTGACTACAATTCATCCCATTACATCAATTATATCCGAATTATATCCCCATTATATATATGCATTCCTTTCTATCCCCATCATTTACCCATTGGTATATCCCATTATATCCCATTATATCCCCATTAAGCCCAATGTGGTAAACCCATTCTGAAGCACCATTAACACCTATTCACAATTACTAACCCGTCTTAACCAGCTCCCCCATATCTAGTAGTCAATACTATTAACATCTATTAACCATTAACCATCTTTAACCATTATTAACAATACTAACCCCTATTAATAACCATCCTTAAACACTATGAACATCCACATCTAGTAGTACTATTAAGTTACTATTAAGATCATTTAACATCTAACCATTAAGCATTAAAATTGGTGACTATTCATCACTATTCACATCCTTAACCAGTGACGACCAGTGTAGTCATCCCAGCACGGCCGAGAAACCTCAAAGACCTCGAAGGGCTCCAGCGTCTTCAGCAGCTTCTCCGTCTTCGCCGGCGTAGGCGGGTCCTGCGCATCCGGCAGCTGCTTCCCCCGGTGCCGACGGCCTCGGAATTGAATTGTTGGCTGCCAGGCACTTGGAGAATCCAATATTAGATCAATATAGATCTACTAATATAATCATTAATACTAATCCAATAATCTAAGCAAATCTAACATAATATATCATGTGATGTAGATATGTAGTGTAATATAGTACAATATAATGAATTATGTTGTAAGCTACTAATCCAATAATCTAATAATCATATTTTTGTTGCAAATCTAATATGGAAGATCAAGTGATGTTGTGATAAAATAACACTCTTTCTTTGAGGATCAAGGACAATTGGAAAAACAAGAAAAACAGTCTATACTTATACTATGAAAACATACATATATATATATATATACACAAATATTGACAGGTATTGTATGGTATTGTTATGGAAACAAGTAAGGAGGTTGAAGCCCCAAATATTCTCGAACGATTCCATTAAGTCTCAACGGAAAAAAAAACGGTGGTATATCTGGAAATCATAGGGATTTCACCAAAGGAAGTGAGGGAAAATGGAGATCGGTTGGTGAAGGTCGGGTAGTCACAATGGTTTCTATGTGCCAGAAGGGATGACATTGTCACATGAAACTTCTAACTTACCGAAGTTCCATACCACCTCAATGACCCAGGAATGCAAAGAAATTGATCACTGGAAAAATTGAAGATACTTCAATGAAACTTGTGGCTGCTAAGTATTGAAATCCCAGGTTTCATGATGTTTCAGCAGGAGTCTATCCCCAGAAATGGCTACCCACATCCCTCACAACAGCCGTGCAGCGCTCTTTGCAGCCGAGTGACGCTTGGGAGTGAAGTACAGCCGTCGCGACTCTTGCAGAAAGCCTGGAGAGACAGCCAAGTGGTTAGGAAGAACAATTTTTTTATCAGTCAACTACAATAAAATCTAAGTATAGTGGATTGAGCGGAAAGTGGATAAATCGTGTAAAGAACTATCTATAATTACTTCACTTACCCTCTGGTAATTTAACATAGCTATGGAAAATCACCATTTTTAATGGGAAAATCCACTATTTCAATGACCATTTTCAATAGCTATGTTAGTTTACCAGGCCGGGTACTTCACTTATTAAAAACTCACCAACGAACGGATTTCCTGGATTTCGTGGAACGCTAAACCGCTGAAAATGGGCAGGCTTTGGCAGGACTTCAACGGCGTCCTCCTTATTTTTTTGGGGGGGCAACTGAAAAAACATCATTATTCAATAATGATCATGTATTACTGTATTATCTATATTGACTTGTTTAATGATGTTTAATGCACTTATATATTGACCATCGATAAATATATAGCTTTGAATTTGACGGACTTGATGACCATCATGGCCAATCTTGGATGCCCGGCAACTATTTTCTCATGCTGGTGACTCTCAAGCTGGTCAGTCACAGGAGGGTAGCCAGTCAAACCTCCCGCGCAACTCGCAACGGCCTGCCAAACCAGGCGCCATATGTACACTGCCGGCACGGCAAGGTGTGAAGCAAGTGATGACTGTGTTGAACAAGTTTGGACCAGAAATCGGAGTTACTAGGTACAGAAAGATCTACAGAATCTAAATGAGGGAACCTTTCTCTTTCCATCAACTTCAAAAATGAGACATTGGGAACATAAAATAAAATATCGCCATATTGAGTCATATTGAAATTGAGTCCACATATTTTAGCAGCCATATTGCAGTATCATCCCCAATGTCCATGGGATTTTCGCATATGCTCCCCATGTTTTCTTCGCTGGAAGACTTCCAAAGAATTGGCAAGTCTTTGAGCCAGGGTGGCCCGACATGCAGTTGAAAGAGCAAAGTCTTCAAGATAGCAACTCAGTTCAAAACGGCATCAGTTCGGTTTCAAAACACTATGAATCACAAACAAATCCATACAACATGGAAAAACATATCACAAAACTCGCAAAAAAAAAACAACCCCATAAACCTCACTCAACCATCAACATATCAAAACCTACCATAAAACAACAAAAAAACATGTATCGCTCATGGCCGCCAGTGACATTCAACTCTCCACCACCTTCATGGAGTAGTAGAGGGGCCGAAAGAGCTGATCAACGAGATGCCTGGCTGCATCCATGTATACATATACACCCTTGCAAAATAACATGTTACCTGAAACGCAAAAAAACCTTTCTTAACATGGCACCTGCGGAGCAGTGTTTTATCTTAACATGGAAGAACAAGTCCACCCCATGGGGTCCTTTTTTCTATGTTAAGATTTAAAGTTCACATCGTGATTTTTGAGGTTAACCTGGACCATCCCGCGCCAATTTCACCCCTCAATTAACATGGACGTTTTTTGTTGTTGTTGTCCATGTTATTTTGCCAGGGAGTATATATATACACATTTATATATTTATTATGTATTTATATATCTATGCATCTCCCGGTGATGTGGATAACTATACCATCTATGTGGAATAATCGTAAGAATCGTATTAGTACTAGTAATAGTAGTGATAATATTGTGATATGCATATACCAATATAACTGGGATAATGAGTTATAACATATGTTATTTTTACTGAATGTGTATCCCAATCAAAAAACAACCATACCTCCATCACACATGGATTAAACCCGTCAATTATCATCAATTAAGGGTCATCCTGGGTCATCCCAGTACCCCATTACCAAACTATCTCATGTACGAAAACTGTTTGCTTGTTTAAAAAATGTGTGTGTGTGTGTGTTTGTGTATGTTTATTGTACATATACACACCTATTCGGTCTGTTTATGGGCAATACCCCCGCGTCTCTTGGCAATTGTGCCACCATGGAATTTCTCCACATGTTCAGAATCAAATTACAAGATGTTTCTCGGTAGAACATCTAGTCGAAACGAACTTAAACGGTTAACATGCAATGTTTTGCAGTCTCCATACCCTCCGGTGAACTAACATTGCTTTTGCCAAAATCATCATGTTAATGTTAATAGGTAAAAACATCGAAGTAAACCGGCAATTTTCGATAGCAGACTGTGAGTTTAGCGCAGCCATGGAGGGTATAGAATCCCCAGTTTCGTTTAATCCCAATCCTGTAGCTTCAACCATTCAAAGGTGGATAGTGGATACCATACAGTGGATGGTGGCAACATCCACCAGTTGATAAGTGGTCACCCATTTAATCAATAAGGTTTCAACATGTTTCAACCATCCAAGGTGCAGGATTTCCCAACCCACAGTATCCCCGCAGAAAATCGCCTTGTCAGCTTGTCCAAGGCATCCTTTTCCTTCTCTTGCAAGCCCTTAGCCAAAAAGCTGGGCTTTCCTCCACCGATAAACGCCCAAAAAACAAACATGACGGATGGACAAAAGCACAAATTTGGGACCATAGAATGGGGGTGCCAAAAAATGAACAGGCGATGGGATGAACCTCAATTTGTTTATAGTTACAGAAGTCCCCGTTGATGGTGATATCCCATGGGATATCCCTATAGAATCACCACTCTTGCTTCAAGGAGGGGAGCAACATGGAGCAACTTAGCTACGAGACCCAACCTATGGTCAGTTCCATGGGATCGGAGACTAAATGTAACGTGGGCCCCAGTTGGAGACGGAAATCATGAATCATAGCTGGTGTAACACCAGGCTTTGATTCAGATCCCCCGCTGTTCAAACATGTTCAAACATTTAGGGTATGGCAAACCCAATTTGGTTAACCCCATTGTATATATTTGCATATCCCATCATATCCCCATTATATATATTTTCATTGTCTACCTATTATATAAACCATTTAAGGATAAACCCAATAATGAACATAAACAGTACATGGACAATTCTCAATAATTCCAGACATGGGTGGTATAAAACCCTCCTCAACTGCTAGGTTTGTGACCGCAATGCTGCACATTACCAGGGTCCATCATTGCCCACGTGACGCAACACATGTTTCGTGCCAGGCCGGACCTTCAGTTTGTGCTCCATCTTGGCATATTCCTCACGTCGGATCTTTTCGGCCATCGCCTTGTCAGCGAATCAACGGCTAAGCCAACAAACATACAGAACATCCAAGTGGTTTATCATATCTTTCCATGACATCAAACTGTGATTTCGGGCTTCAACATGGTTAAACCATGTTAAAACCAGATATTTCACCATCCCCCATCGCCATTTTTATAGGTGGTATCCATTCACCATGCATCCATTCTCCTCCCAGGGGCTATCCGATGAATGATCCGTCGATCCCGATCCGAAAAGGTACACCATGTGTCATTGGAGGGGTTTAAGGGAAAATCTACAGGACACCACGTGTTTTTTACCACCACACATGGGTGTTTCCTGTATTAAAAAAAAAACGTACACCAAATCCAATGAATGTTAAACCCTCATATTTGCTGACTATGGGAATGGTGGAGTGAACTCAAGCTTTGGGGGTACAAGATATTTCTTACCTCGGTCAGACTTCCTGATATTGGATCAGCGTACACCCATACACACACACAATGCAGCTATCGCAGGGTTCAAGATTTTCAAGGGTTGTCAAGAGGGGGCAAAACAAAACAATAAAGCGACTTATGGTAGTTGAAGGGAGACAAAAAATAGGTTTGATTTGCAATAAATATATGGAGTGCAACCAACCCGACCACACTTGAACAACAAAAACACTGCACCCAGGACGGCTTGGCAACTCAATCTCACATGGACATGAACTGACCTGTTGAAAATAATAACTAATTTGGTCTTCAAAACCCCGTGGATTTGAAGCAAGAAGAGCGTGTTTTAGCAAGTTTCAGAGGCAGCACTGGAATTGAGACACAATTGACCGGAAACTATGCTTACTTAAACCATCTTAAACCCTTGTTTTCCTTTCATGGTCTGCAAATGTCTACAGGTGTGATCTATGGTTCGGTCACTTATGCAACAATCAAATGAAGTAAATATGGTGTACCATACTTGCTGGATGTGCATCGCAGCGAGTGCACCTGCAAGGCCGCCAAATAGGGCACCGCCCCTTGCGATGCCTGGAGAAGGCTACCCGACTCAATCCGATTTCTGGAGAGTTGAACAAAAAATCCGTGCGATGCTTTCTGGTTGGTGGTGCAATAACCATGCTGAAAAATATGAAAGTCAATGGGAAGGATGATCCCATATATTGAATATATTGTGGAAAATAAAAAAAATGTTTGAAACCACCAACCAGATATGCTTTCATCAAAGACTGGGAATTCAATCCACAACAATGTCGAAAAATTGGATCACAGCTCAAAAATTGGGCTAAACATCGAGCCGCTTTTCTGAATCTGCGGATTGCGACAACCATTGGATAATTGGATCATCAATGCCCTGTGGTTTTCCAAAACATGGCTGGCTGGAAAATCCATCATCATAGAATTGGATGATGGGAAAATTTACAGGAAAGCCCTATATTTGATGGTAAAAACCATGGTTTCCTGTAAATTTTCCCTTAAACCAATCCATTGATTATAGAGTTTGCTTTCCCATTCAAACCTCCATGAGAAGTTCGTTGGATTTCCCAGCTTAGCCATCTGCTACCTCTGCGATCATCGAACCGTTTTTTGCCCGGCTAAACGATGGGTCAATTCATGACCAGGTCCAATGACTAGCTTTATGATTTCAATTCATTCGAACAAATATATCCTCGTCAAATGGGATCAGCATCGATCAACCAGAAGATGGTGTACATGTACACAACAAAGGTATTTTTTCACATTTTTTCACTAGAATCCTCCGATTGGACCAAGGCTTTATGACTCAATATGACTCGCCAATCAAACGAGAGTCAAATCTCGGAAGTCTCTCGGACCTCTCTGTGTGGTTATGGTGACAGTCATGACAAGTCCACATTATAGGTTAATTAATGTGTTCTATATATCTTTACGTATCTATACATTATCAACTATCTCTATTTTAGGATGGTTATTTCATGTCATATAAATCATGTTAGTTAAATCCGAGTTTTTTTTTTCGAAACTCTGCCACGCCGCCTGCCAGCACTTGAACTTGGCGACCTCCTCGGTGATGAATCGACGGGCCTGGCGCTGATGCGAAGTTATGTGACACTTAATCAATGGATTGGTTTAAGGGAAAATCTACAGGAAAGCCCCATATTTAATGGGAAAATCTATGGTTTCCTGTAAATTTTCCCTTAAACCAATCCAATCACTTAAGTTTCAAAGGCCCAACCTGAAAAAAACACCATGTGGATGTGGGTCAAAATGGAAGACCCAGGGGACCACAGATGTGAATGTCTAGTTTAGTATTCACCATCCATAATTTTGGGGTACCTAATTTTGACCCATACCCATATCACATCATTTAACTACTTGTAATTTCGCGACCATGTTAGATTTAGAGCCAAGTTAAGATTTTCTTCACTAACATGAGGTGGACATTGCTGGACCTATTATATAATTATTTGGCATTAGTCTTGACAGGTATTAAGCAATCTATTTTTGCATCCAATAATTCTGGCAATATAGATCATGTCACCTCTTTCTTCTAGTTTGCCAAACATGTGTTACAAACATGATTAAACACAAAAAAACAACTGCAGAGTGTTGATTTTCAGGGGCACATGTTTGTTATACACCATTCCTTAATCAAAAATGAAACCTGTGCTGATTTGGTACAGGAGTTGATTCTATACTTGTTTTCACAAAATAACCAGAAATGATCCATGCATGCACCAACCAAGCAATTGATTCGACCGATACTGTCGGACAGTCCTGACCTTGGGACATTGTCAATGTGAGTAAACATATATAGATGTATATTAAGAATTATTAAGATATCAAATCACTAGTCGAGAGACAATAATGCCATTCATTGGGTTGGTTTCTATCGGATTTCCATCATGGATGATCCTCAGCAGGGTTTCGACCGGCAATGCTCAGCATACCTTTCCGAAAAATCCGTGTAATCTGTGTGTAGCTAAGAATGGAGATTTCCCAATCTAGCAATGCTTTCCATATGAGCCAAGTTACCAAGAAATAATGACCTAATCAATAAAAAACTCAGTTCTTAATATTGCTATAATTAATTAAAGCTATGTAATATATATATATAATTCCAAACATGTTCAGCAATTCACAAAAAAATAGGTTTTGATAAATCCACTCTTGAAGATGATACACCCAGATTGAATAAGCTTCCATTTTCTCAGTTTCTGATGACATAAGATGATACACCCATTGGATAAGTTCCCAGTACTCACTATTGATGTTCTCTTGTAAACTAACAGTTTGATGTGGTTTATCACCCACCATGAATGTAGATCATTTTCCGAACAGGTTTCCCAACGGGTGTTCCACATCATGACATCTTTTTGTTAGTTGACCCTGGACTAAATCATCCATGGTAAATCACAACATAACATTCCTATGAGATCATCATTAAAAACCTTTGTCGTTTTCATCCCATTCAATCCCATGAAACCACCATGAAATTACCATCAAAATCATTGTGATCTTTCCATTCGCCATCTCTTTCTTCGTCGCGGGCAAGTCCTCGGCTTCCAGACCTTCTTGACCTCGGCCTGGCGCTTCATGGCGTTCGCTTCCACCACCTCGCAAACGCGTTTGATCTGCGGCTTGAAAGCATGCTTGAAAACCCATGGATTTCACCATCAGTTTTTGAAAGGTTTCAATGATTTGCAACGGTAAATCTTTGCATCGTCCAATTTTTTTGCGGGCTATGTTCAATATGAACATCATCGATGATGTTCTGCTTGACAGTTCAACGTGACGTTTTTCGGCTTGTTCTTGTTGGGTGACCCTTTCAGGGCTCAAAGTTCAAAGTGACTTCAAAAGGGATGAAACGGTCAATTTGAATAACTTGGTGTGCAATCAACCTTGGATATGGGCCAAACTCCGGAGCCCATAAAATATCCACAAATGTTAATGGTTCACGACTTAAACATATCAAAGATGTGACTAATCCATACTTGCCACACATTCATATGGGAGTCCGAAAATATGGCACCATATGGCACCCAAAAAAGGTTGGTTGATCGTCACCTATGATTCAAAACAACACCACTTGCAATTTTAGGGGTATCCACCATTTTTGGACATACAGAGCTTTTTATTGCTGGAACATCACCTTTATATACCTTTATACTTATATTCCATGGATGTCCCATGTTCTTTGAACTTTCAGGTATCAGATTTGCAAAGGGCACCGCGGTCACTGTCGTGAAACTTGATGGGATATGGTGGGACAATGATGGGATATGGTGGGACCCCCATGGACCAGTGCTGCCGTGAGCCGGCTCCAACCCCCGGTGGTGTTCTGATCCCGGATATTCTCCATTGATTGAATCCAATTGTAATATATATATACAGTATATAATATAATATATATATATGTATATAGAATTATATAGTCCAAATTGGTTCTACTTTACCAAACCATGAATCATGGCATCTTCGGGTTTCTGGGCAACCAGCTAGTAAACCAACCATGTCCACAGGACATCTTAATGTCAAAAAGAGCTGTCCATCTTGGGGTACCCCGGCCAGAAACAATGTCAATCTATGGTGTCTTTGGTTTACATGGAAAATCGTGAAGCAATGCCGGGTACACGGTACATGCGGAGTATGGTTATAATTATACCTCAAATTGGGCTGGCTGAATACACAACATTATGGGTGTTGACATTGACAGTATTGAGCTATCTCACAGATATCAAAATCAAATAAAAGTCAATATACAGAAAGCACGCGTGGTCATCATTCCACAATACCACGGACAAAACATGGTCTGTTCAAATCAACATTGTAATACCTAAACCAGGTACCTAAATACACCTAAATGTCGCAGGAAAGGTGCATGGTTATGAGTAAAAATTGGGTAATGAGATGGTATTTTTTCAGCAATGGACAAAAATTGCTGGTCCCAAGGGTCTTGCCCCCACCAGGACATGCCAAAAAAAGGCCGCCTGGAGGATCCAGGGACTTATATACTAACCTTTCCTGACCGTTTGGTTATTTTTCACACTTACTAAGTGGGATGATCCTTCAGTAGCACCCCCTAAAATTATCTTCTTGTCAAAACCTGTGTTTTTTTTTTCCGTCGCACCTTCTTAAGATCATCCACAGAGTACGAGGTCACACGCTCCACCTGTGCGGGAACAGGATTATCCACAGAAAAAAAGGGAAACAATCCCAGATCCAACTAAAATCCTTCAAAAAATGGAACGTGTTGGAAACATGAAGAAAATTGATGGTCTTGGAAAGTTGACATCTTTGTATCAAGAAAAAATGGAACGTGAAGTCACAGTCTTGTCACTATAGAAAGTTAAGTCTGTTGTAATCCCAGGGGTCTCTACCACGCGAAATATGGAGAAACTTGAGATTTGATTTCCACCACAAATGGGAGCTTGAAAACAACAAGCTTTACTCTGGACCAGTGGAACCAAATTTCATTTGTGCCTTTAGTTCCGTGAAAACAATGGTGTCTCAGTCAAGAAACCTGACTGGCTGGAGTCCTTGATGGGTCCATTAGAACCTGTGGCCATATTGAAAATAAAGGATCCAATTCCGGGGTTAATCTCCACTCCTGAAAAGCTTGTGGTCTGTTACCAGTTTAGTAGCAAGTTCGTGCTTTTTGGGGCTAGCCCCTAGTTTTCATAACCAGCTAAGATTTATTGACCTGGGGCTGACATTGGGTGTTTGGGACTGCCAATCAGAGTCATGTCAGCATCAGATTACAAACGGCTTTTATAGCAGGGATTGGGCCCTGATGCATCAAATGGGTTCAAACCAAGTCACAAAGATGCGCGTCCACTTCAAGCTTAAGCTGAAACAAAGGCTCACAGCAGCAACTGGATGCTGCCTCTTTTTGTCCATGCGCTGCCAGAGGTAAGTGTTGGCCAGTTAGAATTAGGGTCCTTTGCCCAGCCCGGCACCTGACACTTGCAACATCATTTCAATGCTGCAGATTTGGGCACTGTAGGCAAGAAACCTGCTCCTGACAACTTCAAAGCAGCCATGGCATCTATCACTGGAGCCACTGGCACCGGCCAAAACGTTGGATGCTGAGAAAACCCCATGGAAAACCCCATGGATTTCCTGGGAATTGCCCAAGGTAATGTGTCCACATCAACACCCAATGTCAGTTCAAGTGATTCAAGTGGCAAGCAACGGTTCATCTTACCATCATGCGATATTTATGTTGGACATGTCCAAGCCTTTGTTCATGTCATATATATATATATATGTCATATATATATATGTCATATATATATATATATATTTGAGGTGTATATATATATATATTGTATTGGTATGCAGGAGAGTTTTTGCATTCAATTAGAAAAGCAAATATATTCCCGAATCCCGAGCAAGTGATTTTGAAGGCACTTGCCAGATAGAGGCATGGAATATTGATTCAAATGAATATTGAGTCAAAGAAGGTTTTTCAAATTCCTTTGCAGCAAGTTTGTTTCAATGAAAATGCGTGAGGATGCATGAGTGCTTTTACTTCATGGTGTCAACCCAAATGATCTGATGTCTATCAGATATTATCAGATAACCCCAGATGAATTCACAACTTTTGGACCAAAAAACAGCTTGGTTTTGGCTCACATCATATATAATGGCTATATCCACGTTCATAACCATATCATTAACCATATCATTAACCATATAAAAGCCATATAATTAACATCACCCCTTTAGGGGCTTCTTTCGCCATCTCCCCGGGACAAAATCCCTGCCTCGGCACAGTCGCCGGCCACGTTCAGAGGCACCGAGATGTCCACCAACCTCAAAAGGCGATGTCATGCTGGGGGAAAGTTTAAAAAAACAAGGGGGAAACACAATATGTGGGGGGGGGGTATCCATGCATGGATGGTTTATTTCATGGAAAATCCCAATCTAAAACTGGCTGGTGGTTGGTCAATGTCTATCATAACCATTGATGGTTGAGGATTTAATCAATCATATGGGGATATGGATGGAATTGGATGGATATGATATAATCTGGTTTCTGTATGTTTCTGGTTCAAGCCCTCTGAAAAATGATGGAGTGAAAGTCAGTGGGGATGATTATTCCATATGATTCCCAAGTGAATGGAAATTCAATATTCAGCCATGTTCCAAACCACCAACCAGTTAAACCAGTTATTTATTGACAATAATCATATGAAAATCTAAACCAACCAGTACTGAAACCAACATTTCCTGACTTAAATCGATCACAAAGTTGATCCCTTGAAGCCCCGAGCTGCAGAATAAAGATCACTGGGGATCATCATCCGAAGTTGGCTTGGAGGGATATACCAAAATGTGTTTATATGTATAATATATATATATACACATTATATATATATATCTATCCATATATATATATAGATATGTATTAAATATAGATATGTATTAATACATGTAGTATTGTATTTATGTATAATATATATATATTTATGTGGAGATGAAGCATAATCGAGCCCACAATCCAATTTCACGTCTCATTCTTTAGCGCAAACGAATGCGCCAATGTGAAACCCAAGTACGTGGAAGTGCCCCAAGTGACCCGTTTACATGACCAATGACCCAAATTGCGGTTCTAGATGGGAACCATGGCCAAAGAATATATATATATATATATCATGAAGCATTCCTTTCCATCACATTAATCAGAATTGACGACGTGGATTTGTTTGTTGGGTCATCATTGGTTTGGCTTCAAATCACCAAATCGATCCAAGCTATGTCTAATTTTTCAGGCATGAAGTCAACAAGAAAGGTGATGATTTCAGATATGTCAAAAGCCAACCGTTGGAACTTCTCTAGCAACCAAACCAAATTAACCCTTCACCCTTGTGCTTAATCCAGTGTCTTGATCTCTGGGAAAAATCATGGGCCGGTGTGTTATATCATGTACTGTGTTGTGTATCAATTGTGAGCAAAACATGGGCAAATGAACACCGTTGATAAAATCAACAAACTAAGGGGAAAAGGGGACATTTCTCATCCCGAATGGAGCTTCGAGGACAACCCCATGCAGCAACCTAAAATGGAACCACTTTTTGCCCTCAAATGCAAAAAACCATTGAGCTGGGACGTAAACTATCCGATACTTTCCCATCAAAATTAGAAAATGCACGTCTCCCACAAAAGACACCTTCATCTCACCTTCAGGTTGACCAAGTACACTATGAACAACAAAATAGTTGGGAGATGGATCTCCATCCCATAAATGTTGATCTATCCGAATCTATCCATTCCTGGGATCGAACGGAAACCAGTGGCGAAAGCCATGATCTACAGTGTCTACAGTATATTTGCAGTAACATCAAATGATCTTGTGAATATTTTCCCATCAAACCGGCAAACAAATATCCGCAGGACCTAAATCTACACCCCACATCTCACACCTTGACCCAGCAGTTGGCCGTTTTCCCAGTGGAGCCATGTTAAAAATCATCTCGGGTGATTTGCTACAAGGGGTTATACTGCTTGATTCATTGGAACTTATGATAACACAATAGGCATAGCTGGGATGGCTCAGCTGTTCCCAACGGGTGCCGAAAGGCATGAGATTTCGCTCCAGTTCCTGCAAGTCCTTGGCGTGGATGATTGGCACCTCCGCAGCGATGGGAAGGGATCAAAAC